ATAACCTCAATACTAGATAAACTATTTAACATTTAGATCCTAGCGAATCATGAAACTCTTAGTCCCCCCAAATAACAATACTTGAATCGACTATTGAATGACTCTGAAATTATGTTATTTAAGGTATTACCTTTTTAATGTTAAGAATGCTGATAAGCTTTTGGGATGAATCTGGTTGTAATTACAGGTTAAATATGTCCCTTTAAAAAGCCTCAATAAAAATATACTCATTTTTCAGTAACCTGGACAGCTTCAGAATTGATATGTTTTCTACATAAGGTATCAGACCTGCCTTTGTAATTTCTTCTCTAACTACTTCATGATGCTATGGACTCTAAACATACACCAGAGCTTATTAATCCAGAGCAAAAGTCAAACTTTGTTATAATCAGAATTAAAAAAAAAAACCAAACAAAACCAAAAAAACCCCACCCAACAACAACAAAAACAAAAAAAAAACCCATAGGAAAACTCTTAATAGCTGAAACATTTTTATCATTTTAGCTCCCCAGGGCAACAACTCTGAGTTTTGGAGCATCAAGTCAAGGCGGTTTGGTGAAGTGTGATGCTGCCAACATATTGGAGGATAGGGACAGAGTCAATGGGAAATGGCCCAGTAGAATTACATCATGAACAACAGCTCATATCCATGCTAAATTCAGTGAATCTGAAATTAAAGACACAATGGTGTTCTTCAACCTCCACTCAGTGGGCTATTTAGGAGGTGAAGAGATGTGCCTATGCAGAAAAAAAAAAAAGGCCAGGGAACTTTCAACCCTCATAATACAAGAAAACATTCTTATGAGGTTGCTTACATTTTTTCTGTTGCCAACCACTTTAACCTATTTCTCAGCTGGATTAGAAAATGTGTCCTAATATCAACAAACCAGATAGGGGGTGGGAGTGAAGGAATATAGTTGTTCTAGTTAATAAAGTAAGTCTGATACAGAGATTTTTTTTAGTGCTGACAGATTTTTGCCTTCCTCGTTATAACAACAATAGAAGACAAACAAAAATCTCTCTGTGCTGGACTATCAACAAGTACAAAATCATTCGGAAGTGCATTAGACATACAGGGACATATTTGTGCTGCTGATCTGTCTGGATGGCCTCCAAAAAAGCCAGTTGCTTGATGTAGGTCAGCCAGAGTACAGAGCTTTGCATGACAAAAGAAACCACAACACAGTCAAAAAGCAAGTGGGTATTTTGCCCTTTATTCTCCATTGACCATTGTTCTATTTTTGAGCTTACTTTACTACTGTGGTTTTTCTTCCTTCTTTGGATTTTAATTAAATTCTCCTTAGGCTTACTAGCTTGATATTTTCTTCTTCTTTTTTTTTTCTTTTTTTTTTTTTTTTAGTGTAAAAATGAAGGAATCCTTTTTACTAGGCCACTTTTCCCAAATCTCACTGCTCTACCTATAATTTAAATGAGTCATTAATGCACAATATCCAAATAAAACTTTGTGAATTTGGATCAGACGGGTATAATAAGCTTTCTGACTATTATGGAACTGATTATCACCCATTATGTAAAATACCCATGGTTTTCACAGCTGTGCAGAAATAGAAAAATTTTAGTTTGCATCTAAGCCTGACAGTATTGAACTCTGAAACAGATCATATCGAAAGCGTTTGATGTTGGCTGCCAGGTGAGAACTGGGTCCCCACTAAAATTCAGAAGGCATTTTGCTGTTCCTTTCCTTGCAGCCAAGATTTCAGCTTGTCACAGACTGCAAATATGAATTCCTTTTCTCTTTGTTTTTCCCAGTTTTCTTCTGCCACACAAATCAATCCTGCACTCATTCAGTTTTATTAGATTTACTCTCAAATCATAGTGCTGTAACTGAGAACAGAATCAGACCCAGGAATGCATTTTGCCTTCAAAATAATTAGCTGCATTCTATACAGTCTCCCATTTCTTTCCAGCTATATATGCTCTCTGGAGACCCTATGTACTGAATTTACACAAGCTGTATAACAAGAGTCCTTTTATACCATGGACTACCATGATTGGAGAGAGCCTTATAAAGACAGAGCACCACACTTGGATAATTCACGTGCATAGAATCCACATACAGACCCAAAGTTATTGACCAGGCAGAGTAAGTTTTTCTGATCATCACACTGTGCCTTTTTTAAAATAAAGTGCTATTTGCTTATGGCTAAACCTTATATGTGGCTATTGCATGCACATTTCAGGCTGCATTGTCAAAAACCAAAACACCTTCACCAAAAATGATGGAGCCTAAGCACTAGGGCAATGACAATTTTTGTTGGTTTTGGTTTGTTTGCTTGTTTGTTTGTTTCCATTTTATTTTGCATTCCAACAGAATTTTTGTCAAACATAGAGCACGTGAACACACAACACTTTCCTTCACTGTTCCCCACACAGAGCTGTTCACAGAAGAGGAATACTAAGGAGGAATGTTTCTAAAGCCACAGACAACTTCTCCACTTATTTCAGGTTTTGTGGTTTGTTTCTTTTTTTTGTTTGCTTGTTTGCTTTTCTTATATTTAATACTATGACAAAACATTATAAGAAAATCTTCCTTTAAGTAGTGTGAATATCAAATAGTATTTGTCAATCCCTGAATCATGCTATTCAAAGTGCTTAAATCTACACTAAAAATAGAAGAACAGAAAAGTACTTCCCATGTGGCTAAGAAAAGACCTACCCATTGTCAAATAATTACATCCTACATTTATTCCACATCCCAGTCTTTACACCAGGGCATGTAAAGGGGAAAAGAATAATGCATTGCTTTCAGAGGATCCTGGGGTATTTGGGAGTGTTGTGATTTAAGCCCAGATGGAAATTAAGCACCACACTGCCACTCACTCAACCCCTCCCCTTCTCCCACCCTCAGCCCAGTGAAATCCAGGACAGACATCCAAATGAATGAAGGAAAATGCCATCAGTGCCTGACAGGTGTCTGTAAGAGCAAATAAATAATAGCTTTCTTAAAGCAAACGTGCAAAGTTCTCTTAAAATTTTATGTGACCTGGCAGCCTAATTTCCATTTTGTGGATGTTTGGCACATGTCCAGAGACACTATAATAAAGAACAGGTTGTAGAAAAGGACTTGAGCTTAATCTCAGAGAAATAAACATTTTAAGCAAATAAAAGTGTACACCTCAAAGGTCTATTAGCTTCTTATGCAGATACTGAGATTTCTTGACTTTCACAACAGAAGCACAGTCATTTCCTCCCACACTGTCAGTTCTGGATTGCTCCCACAAATATCCCCCAAACTGCAGCTTCTCCACTCACCTCTCATTAAGACCAAAATATTATAAGCTCTACTTTTCTTGTTGTGACAATCATGATGAGCAAACCCCACAACATCCCTTATATTGGCCGATATCATTCAGCTGCCATAAAAACACCTAAAGCTAATTAATTACATAAATAGACTCTAAGGCCTGTTTGCCAGGACACCAGTTACACTTCTGCCAGGGTAAATCAAACCCATGGCTCTATGACAGTGTGCTGCAACCAGTAACTCTACTCCAGCTCCTCTGCTTCTGCCAGCGGGGACTAGCAGGGAGCTTGGCCTGAATATGTTGTAGAGCCTGCACCACTCATCTCTCCTTCTAAAACCAGAAAGGACTTTCTGTTATTTAAAACATAAGTATGAGCAAGGTGCTTATTTAATTTGTCTCAAAGATGTCTGGATGTAAACACAGTGGTGGGCTTTTATTCTTCCCTGTCAGCCATGGTACATGCATTATTTGCAACTCCTCAAAGATGGAATCATACATAAAAATAAAACTAATTTATTTATTCATTAAAGTGAATAAATTGTTTTTAATACTTCCAGGTCTGATTTAAATATTAATTTTGTATAAATAAAGTTTATTCTGAAAACAGTTATATTTCTGGTAATCACGTCATTTTTTTCTGCCTGAGTTCTTACTGAAATCATGTTGAAATTAATAAAGTTTTATTTATTGTTACAAGCTAAAACCAAATGAAAGAAGATTTCTTAATCTTGAATATATAATTTTAAAGCAAATACAGTTTTTGGAACATTAAAATACAAGGGACTCTGAAATCCACAGGAAAATAATGTTTTGCTCTTACTTTTTTTTTGAAAATAACACTTTCTATAATACAAAGTGACAAACCATCTACAATACTGTCTTTTTTATTCCCCTTTGGTTTGGAAGTCATCACTGTACATATCAGCAGGACTCTGCACTTCAGTGTCTATTGCCTCACTTGTCTTACTCGCCTGACATTTGCAAATGTTATTTGCAAGATTTTGAAAGTTGAGAAAGAAAAAAAAAAAAAGAGTGCTTAAAAAATAAAATCCACAACCACATTAATATTTTTCCAGGATGTGTTAAAAATAGGGTTGCTTTTATATTTATAAAAGGATACAACCAACTCATTCTTAAAATAAGAATTAAGAAAGAAACCAAACCCAAGAAAGCAAAATCCAAACCGGCTATAGTTTCTACACACTCTAGTGACTACTGTGAAGCAACCGATACAGATTGGGTATTTTCTCTTGTTTGACAGGTATCTACCAAGTTACATGTTAGATGGTCAGACTGTAGTGTTACCCCAAATGGGGGTCTTTGTAAGGGCAGGGAAGGAGCAGTGCACATTACGGGAGTAGAAATGAAACTGGAGCTCTCAGTGAGCAGTGGGGTCCTTCTAAGAACAAAAACTCTCCAAAAGAGGTGAGCTGCAGCAGGCATGGCTAGGCAGGCCAACAAAATGGATGGTGCTTCTGATATCAACATAGCTTTGTCCAAGCATTTTCAAGAGAGGTTATAAACAAACAAACAAAAAGTCTAAAACTATACTAATGAAGCAAAAAAGTTTCCTATCTATACAGCAGTCTCTTCATTTAAAAAAAATGTAAATATACAAATTCCAATGACATATAAAACAAAGTCAAAAATGTGAATGGGAAGAGACATGGGTAAAACAGGAAGACTGATGCTACAAAGAAATTGCAAAAAACATATGTACAAGACCCTGTTTTTCCTCGTTTGTTATCGATTGTAATGCGTGTTTAACAGCAGCAGTCGAGGATGTAGTTCCAGGCACCAGACTGCAGACTCTGCTCCTACTCAAGGGGGTTGACAGCCCCTTGCATGTCGGTCACCAAATGACACTGGATATACTGGTCTCCCGTGGCAGGAGGGGCAGTATGGCACTGTTTGTGTGAGCCTCTTCGGGGTTCTGCTCCCTGTTAGTTTTTGTCTGCGGCCGCTGCCCGTTTATAAGTGTCATGGGGATGTTGCAGTAGGTGTGCTGGTTACCTATTGAGGTAAGAGGCAGGGTGCCAGCAGGAGGTACATCGTACTCATAGCTCCGGTAATAGTGTTTCTGGCGCATCTGTGAATGATATGTGTTATGAAAGGTGGAGCGCAGGTCTGGATGGGCAGTGGCAAGAGCAGTGGAGGTGGCAGCAGCCATGGAAATTGCGGAGACTGTCTGCAGTTCCCCAAAGGGCCCCTGCTCACTGACATCTAAAACCTGCTCATTTGTCATGGGTTCAATCCTCTTAAAAGGCATTTCGTACTGTAAACGTTTCCAGAACTTGGAATTCAACTTGTTGCATTTTGGTCCGTGCCATTTAATGACAGTGAGGAGCTTGATGGTATGTTTTAGGGCCTCAACCTCCTGGTAGTTCATAACTCCTCGTAGTTCACTGCATTCAATCAGTATCACTTTGATTTCTCCCGTGACTAACATATTTCGAAGCCTTGTTTCCAGTTCAAAGATGCTCCAACCTCTTCTTACCACGTAACTTGGAGTCATGACGATGATCAGTCGCTTGCTTTGGTCTACACATCTTGCCACATCTTCAATGTAGGCTACAAAACAAAACAATTGCTCAAAATGCAATCTAAGAAAACAGTCTGCTCTCATAAACTAGTGAGAAAGAACAGAGGCAAATCCCTGCTCCCAGAAGATCTCACTAAAATATGCAAAAATATCATTTATAAATGTGCCAGGCTGGCCCGGGAGACCATGATCTTGAGCAACCTGCTCTATGTGGACCTGCTTGAACAGGGAGGTTGAAAAAGATGACATCCACAGGCCCCTTCCAACTTCATACATTCTGTGTTCCTGCAAAAGATCTATTCCCACATGTGCTATGGATTGTGAGTGTTTCTTCATGAGTTGTGGCTTTGTATCATCTATATTGCTATTGGAGCAAATATGCTCATCATGATTTTTACCTTTAAAAAGGCAAAGTCACCCAGTTAGACAACAGAGCAGCAGCCATGTGCTTCAGGACCTCGGTCTCAAACCCAAATGATACTCTAAATTTTTTGGTAGGCTTATATTCTGTTTTTCCTTCATGTCCCTGCCACACACATTCATAAAAAAATATCTCCTGTAAATTAATGTTGAGTTTGCTGTAGATTTTAAAGAAAAAATCCATTAGACTGCTTGATGTTCTATGCTGTTTGCCTATACCAGGTATCCTTTTTTTTATCTTTCATTAGAGGTATTGAACTTAATCACTGTCTATATGGTTACACTGAAGTCATGAAGAATATTACAACAACTGACAAAATGTTACTGCACTTATGTTGGAATATGTGAGAGGAACATGAAAAAGATCTACTTGTACCAGCTGGAATCAATTCTAGTATTCAGTCTCTGAGAATGATCAAGTACATCCACTACACAATTGGCTACAGTGGACACTGACAGAATTCACTACTTTTTTCTGGTGTAGAAGTTATTACTCAACCATTGCCTTAGTCCAAACACAGCTCTTTCCTTCCTGTGTGAATTTCTGTAATACTAAGAATCATGGATATCTTTCCAAACAAAATCTAAGGAACTGAAAACAAAGAACTTGGTATTCATTCCTAGATATGCAAGTTCTCAAAAAATCTGAAAAATGTTAGTCTCTTTCATTTCCTTTACTTTTGCATCCCCTTTCCTCACTGTTTTATCTTCAATTAAAACAATACAATTACTAAATAATAATCCTCTTATCTGGGAAATGCACATTAATATTTGGTGGTTTATCCTCACCATTCTCTAAGACATGGGAGAAAAGATGACATTCTGAAGGAGTAGCTATAGAAACAAGACTAAAACAATCACTGCAATCATTCATTTTCTCATTCAATATCACATGAGAATAAAGACATGACTTACTTCCCGTGGGAATCAAATCTCTGTCTGGTATGAACAACTTGTATCCATAATGCTTTTCCAGCATATCTGGTAGAATCTCAAGAGCAAATCTTTCTTCTTCTCCAGTTTCTTGATTCCACTGGTCAGGATCCACTTTGGTATAAGATAGATATGCATCATAGTCTTTGTTATCTAAGGAAAGAGGGAAATTAAGTTAGTTTATTCCTTATTCTAGCAGTTTTCCCAGATATTTCCCCAGATATTATTTCTGGGAGAATTTTCCAGGAAGAGGAAATGGTTTAGATAAAGTGGCAAGCTTTCACCCAGTCTCCAGATATGCATCCATTCAGCTTTCCTGCTTCACATGGTAGGGATAATCCTGAGTTACACAGAAGCAAGGAAGAAAGGCTCCATATCCATAGACAGAAGTCAGTTTATGTAAGAATCTGGATGAAGAAAATCCATTCAACTGCAGGGTGACAGCTCATGAGCACAAAAGTCAAAAGTCACTGAGAAGAATTTGCATTCTTCTCTAGCATAAAAGGAGAATGAAGAGCATGGAAATAACTAGGCTAATGTGCAAATATCTCTGCTGCATAGTAAAAGCATTTCAGTCTTGCCAGAATTTTACTATAAATTTAGGACCTGAGGCTGAAATGCTCTACGTGTACATATAGCATTCCTTTTAAAACTCTCTAACTCTCCAGGTCTGAAATTATTGCCAAGCTTAAATCTTCCCAGCATCAGCTCCTGATACGGCAGTTTAAATTTCTTGAATTCTGTGCACTTAAATTTGCAAATTTAATGTTGCATTAATGTACATTTCATTACTTAACAGTGTGTTACTTCAATATAAGAAATAACCATGCCTGTGTTTTAAATGTGCTTGCTGTGCCTACTTGAAAGACTGAATCAAAAGAGCTGCCATTAATTTTCATTAGGAGGTCAATAATGCCAAGTGCTCTGGAACTAATTCAGTGAAATGAGAGGTCATGTTTTGACTTTTGTTGTGAAGAAAGCAGAGGAAAATCAATGACAAGAGTAATGAAATGTTAACATCCTTCTAACTCTCTTGACAACATTATGAACAGACTACCCAGAATATCAATTTCTTATAAAAGAGATCTGACTGAATATTCTAAATACTGTGTGTCATAAGTAATGTAATATTCAGTCAGTGCTGACTTCATTTATTTATTGAGCAGCTCCTTTCTTCATTTTACACCTTTTTGTAGTTTGGTAGTAGTATTTTGAAAAACCTGCCAGCTGCAGGGAGTATGGAGAGCATGTAAATGAAATTAATGGAGCGGTGCTAATCTTGAGCAGTCCTCTCTCCCTTCTGAGGAACCATATCCCTTCTGAGGAACCATGTGCACTATGCTAATTAACATTTGCAGATGACAGAACAAATGTGGTTGTACTGTTACTACTTTTAAACTTTCTAAACCCATGAAATGGCCATTCTGTGCTCATTCTGTGCCCTGCACATCTTTTGTGCAATATTATCTAGTGCATTGTTATAGCCACAGAAAAAAACGAAACAAAACAAGTGAAAAAAACCCCAGCCAAAACAACAGCAAAAAAAAAGAAACTAAGAAAAAGAGAAGCACTGCCTTTTATGGGTCACACTTTCCAGGATTTTTTGGGAGTATTTATGAAAACATGTCCTTTAACAACAGAAAAGCATCTCCTGCCTTTTATAATTCCTTAAAATAAGACTGATTTGATCAAGTATGATATAGATGGACATACACTGCAGGTTCTTTTTTCTGCAGTTGGACAGTGATAACCCAGCAAAAGAGTTAGAACACAGTGAGGTCAACAATGGGGAAATTATATGGGGAAATTATTTATGTAATTATTTTATATAATTATATATGGGGAAATTATTACCACGGAAAAAATGCTGGTGCTGCAATGACATATTCTATTGTCATCCATTAATGGTCATGACCATGGTACATGCTTGAGACATGTGCTGCTCTGTTCAAAGTCTTTGAGTAAAGATGAGAATGCATCATTTTTCAAAGAGATAAATAATAAGAAATAAAGCAGAATTCAAACTGTTTTAAAGGCTGAGTATTGCCTGCTAAGATACAAACACACATTCTTACTTGGAGGGGATTATTTGTGCTGTGACATTGTTTTATTGCATATGCAAATCTCACACTTATGCATTTAGTCAAAGTACACATTTTTCATATCATGGAGGATCCAGCATCTCAGCATCTCCCCTAACTACAGCTGCATCACCTGTGTTGCAGGGAAGATATCTTTCCCTCCTAGTTTTACTAGTCTTTGTAGGGCAAAGAATGGTTGGGGTCTAGGGTGTATCTGCAGAGATGTGTTCAGGCATCAGTCATGGGGAAGTTCTGGATTAGTTCATCACAGTGAGGTCAAATGCAGCTTATGCTCAAGGTGTGATTCATTCAGTCCACAAATGTTTCAGTCAGCCCCAAGCCACCAGTACTGCAGGACTCCAGGCAAAACAGACTGTGAGTTACAAACTGTCCTATCAACTCAACCATTCTATGGAGCTGAAAAGGAGAAGTTTGTAAGTCAGCAATGGTCATGGAGCCTCACTCAGCCACAGGTTTAGATAGACCTTAGGGGTAAACCCTGAGGGTCAAATCTCATCTTCGTTAAAAACACATGGAAAGATTACTTCACTTAGTGGCCCAGGTTTCTAGGCAAAGAACCTGTTGCATCATTTTGGAGCATGCATTCTTTAATCCTGCCCATTCCTTTCGGTACTCATCTAAATGCAGAGTATGCTGTCATACTCCCTGTAACTTTCTACAATGTTAATCTAACAGAAGTGATATAAATTTTTAGGGGATGAAGCTGTAAATGCTTCTTGTTATTCCAAGGATGTGCTCAGCAGCAGTCACTTAAAGGCTCAGTGTAAGCATAAAATGAAACCCAGACTCTATATGCATCTACTTTTTCACATGCAAATGGGATCTTTGGGTAAGTAAATTGCTATCAGACATCTAAGAACTCATCTGTATGCATGGTCTCTTAACAGCTACACATGAAGAAATGATAAGCTGGTGCCTACAGAAAGAAAGATAAAACTTCCTCTTCTACAGGGACCACCAAGCACATTTAACATCAAATTTGCATTATAGATGTATGTGTTTTCTAATGATTTCCATGTTACACTGCAAGTAGTCAGCAGTTTGGGCCTTTGAGGGTTTATTAAACTTAAACATTGAAGATATTTCTGCTAATGGGGGACAGAGAAATCATCATGAAAAATTAAAAAAAGACCAAAAAACTTTCTAGAGTATTTTTTTTCCTTATCAGCCATGTTCAAGCCAGTGACAAATTCTAACTTTCATCTGGCATTATACATTTTAGCACATGACCGATTAAGAGATCAAAACAAGGAGAAATCCCACAATGTTGTATTTCATAGTGAACCTTATTTCAATGAAGCTCTAAGACCTAGAGGATGGAGTCAGCTCATGTGTCCGTGTGTCCTGAAATCCTCGGAGCAGTTTGTAGTGCCTTCAGACACATTCAGTGCAGTGGAGGCAGCTGGCCATGCACAGGATTTCAGTGGGAAACAGGAGATTGGATCCTTCCAAATGCTGCAGGGAGCTGGAGTCAAACTGATACAGCAAACTTTTGTCTTAAAAAAACATGATCTGTTCAGGAAAGGTTATAAAGAACTTTTCAAAATTTCTCAGAGACTGTAGTTGCTTAAAAATTATGGCATTTCTTAATCTGTATTTGCTTCGCTATTCTGGGGGCTACATTTAATATATACATTGGGATAGTGGTTATCCTTAATATAATGAAAAAATGTCATTTAATGCTGAGTTGAATAAACCATTCAAATCCTAGGTCTTTCAAAATACTTCTACTTTTCTTCACACTATTTACTGTTGCTGATGTAACATTTTCTATTATTTTTAAATGTCAAGCCCTTTTAATATTAATAAAAATTAAGAACTACCCACACAATTTTTTTCCATAGCATAGTATATTTTAAATGTAGCATTCCTTGTGATAGTTCATATTCTTGTGCAAGTGAGCAATGTTGAATTGTATGGGAGTATTTTTTTTCTACTTTGTATCTGAACTTTTTAACCCATAACAATCTCTTAGTTTGAAATCCAAAGATGATCTTGGTAATATTTGATTTTTAAAGATTTTTAAAGATATATATATATATATATATATATATATATATATAAAATTACACATGCACTTTAAATTCTGTGAAATAGGAAGAGAGAAAAAATAAGGAATTTTCCTTTGAATTAGGACATTTCATGTACAGAATCTAGAAAAATCCCATATTCAGTGGAGACATAAATTGAGTTTTTATTGTTTGAATTATATTTCAGATGTAAATAGATAGCATAAACAAGAAGAGTTAAAAGAAACAGTTTTCCAGCAATAAAATTGTAATTAAATAAGAGAAAAATCCCTTTTTGTAACCAGTAATGTTTAGAAAGAAGAGAGCTTCATTTTTCTAAGGTGATTTTAATAGAATTTTAAATTGATATTCATAGAGCAGGACTTCTTATCGTCACAATTTGCCAATAGCCAATAAGAATATATAAACGAGTGGTGAGACTGCTATTGCAAACTTATTTTGTGCATCCCCAGGGAAGATTCAGTAATTGCAAAGTCACTAACTTCAGCAGTAATTTCAGTCTAGCTATACCTGCATAGCATAATCATTAACACAAGTGCTTTGGTGGTGCTTAAACCAATGGTAAAAGTTATATTTGAAAGTTAATAACTTAGTCACACAGAAACCTGAAGAATCTTAAAGTGCTGCCATTCCTTGCTGCTTAAGAGTTTCACTGGGATGAAACCCAGGAAACCACCAAGAAGTATTTATCTGCTCTTGTCCTGGACAGTTAATAAGACATTATCTGGGCTTTCCCATAGGTTCATCCATGAACCCTACTAGTCTTTTGCAGCTAAATAATAGCAAGGACAAAATCATGATTACATTAGGACTCCCAGGTGCAACAGGAGCTACAAGGAAGAACCAGTTTCATCAATCTCCCAATCTGAGCATTGATTTGCTTTCCCTCAGCGAGAAGCAGAAATTCATCTCTCATGAAAGGGCAAACACCCAGACAAGAAACATTACAGATGTCATGTACCAAATCCAAACAAGATTTCTGGAACTGGGAGAGCTCAGCAGTGGCACATTTTAATATTATTAGGAGCACTTTGCTTTCTTTCTTTATTTCAGCAATGTGGTGGAAAACAAACAAACAAACAAACAAACAAACAAACAAGCAGCCACTTTCCCTCCTCCAGAACTGAAACTCCCCAGCCTGGGCCCAGTGGCCTTCCCTGTAACAGAGCTGCACAGAGGCTGTGTCTTCCTTCAGTTCAACAAGGTTTCCATGGCACAGAGAGCTGAGACTGAGGACACCACAATGAGCTCCTGACCAATATTTTAGAAACATCTGATGGAACCTAAAGGCACCAAGGGTCATTGTGAAGGTCATAATTTCAGCTCTCAAACAAAACTCTCGCTTTCTAGCTATCAGTTGCCTACAGTCTTTTTTATTTCTCGAGCCTAAAGTTTGACTTCTCATTACAATAAATTTAGTCAGGTTTTGTCTTCAATTACTACTTGTTTTTGGCAGCCTCCTAGTGTAAAACTAGTGTAACATTTCTTCTTTTCTCTTTTTTTTTTTAAGATCGTGTTCACCTTTGCTTAGTAATTCCTTGATAAAAAACTTTCACCAATTTAAAAGGTTAAAAATCTACCCAGGTAATGGTAGCAACAGATACTTGCAAACTGTTTCTATTAGCTGTACTGTATGGTCCTGCCTCTGAAACTAGAATCTAAACCACAAACACATGTAGAGTATGTTTGCCTATCTGACCATGTCCAATGGTTTTTAGCTTGTCACCCATAGACTTCTGGATTTATCCATAATGTAAATTAAAACTGGCATACAGTCATTCAGATATGCACTGGAACCTGACAGATCTTGAAATGGCAAAAAAAAAGAAGTCAAAACAAGCTGTTTTGATCACTTTGAGCCTCCTATCCACTCTGAGGCAGGATCATAACTGCACCACTGGGAGAAATTATTCTCCTCTCCACCCTCACTGTGGTTGATGTGGCTGGGAATGCTGGGAACTTGCACAATTTGATGAGCAGGAAAAATAAAACAAGAAAGTTGTCCCAGGTAAAATAATGGGAAAATTTCCACTGACTTTAGGGTGCCTAGAAGTCAGCTTATATTTAAATAAAAAGCAGATTTCTGTATAGTAGTAATATCTCTTCTGATACAATTAGCTTTTAAAGTCATAGAGTGCAAGCTAGAAAGAAGTCAGGGCATGTGTTGATCACTGGTACTTGTAAATGGCTATTTACATTTTCACTCTGTCAGTTAAAGTGCCATACTTCTTTTCATAAAGTCATTTAAAAACCGGGAACAACAGCAAGAGAAGGTCCTTGGAAAGTAAAAAATACATGAAAAGCCACTGCTAAAAAGCTACACAGAGAATGAACGTGGTATAAAATCCTTTTTGTTGCAGCTCAATGTGCAACAAAACAGAAGAAATCATCACTTCTAAGAGTGGCTTTCACTAATATAATTTTAGTCCCTAAAGTGTGCTTTATGGACAGGGCTTTTAAAAACAAGCTTTTAAGTTTAAGGCTGCAAAGCTATAAAGGTTACCTGACATTTGACAAAGATTAGCCCTTAGAAGTTCCCAGTGAAGTATCTATTTCTGAAAATGTTGTTGTTTTCAGAACAGTCAGGACATTTCTTTGTTTGCAGGGCACTTCAAGCTATCATCTTTACTGTGTATGTAGAAAGATCTTAAACTGGATTTTTCCTCCTAAACAGATTTGGGAGTTTCTGGCCACCAAACCAGTAGTGGTGAGTTATGGCTCAGAGATGCAAGGTCATGGCAAACACCTGCAGGTAAAACAAGCTACTGCTTTGCCAAGGGTCAGAGTGTTTCTCTTGCCCCTGTGCTCCAGTGACTGGGGGAGCTGTCAGACATCCACAGTGAGGTCCCTGACTGGACAGGGGCACCCTGTGCTCCTCTGCACTGAAGGACACATTGTGGTGTCCATCAGCCCATCCCCTGGTGAGGAGCCAGCTCCTGTGCAGTTGGAAAGCACAAGCATGGAGTGAGAGGAGAAGCAGCAATGTTACTGTATTCCAAATTAGTAGGAAAGTCAGGGAATCAACCATAAAAATATAAAAGGGGGCTTCAATTCCCATTCTCAGGACTGAGCAGGAGTGTCTGCAGGAGAGTGAAAAACAGAAGGAGAGTCTTGTCCTTAGGCTGAGAAAAAACACTGAGAAATGCAACAGTGTAAGTTAGAGAAATGAGCAATTGACAGCTGCGACCACTTCTTTAATCTGCAGTATCCATACAGAAAGTAATAAATTGAGTTGCATTAGCTGTGAGGGTTAAATACTTTGTTTTCAAATACTTCTCACAATTTACCCATGCCTCCCACAAAAATGCGTATTTTAGTTAGCTTCAGAAAAACTGATGTGTCTAAGGCTTGAAAAGGAAAAAGAAATTGTGATGAGATTTGACATCCTTAAGGGCTTGTTCTCTGATCAGGGAAGAAATGAAGCATTGAATTTTAAAAGAGATTTTCTACTGAAAATTTTAATTGGACCTCACCTTTAAAGCATTTCAAATCCTCTCTGGGTACAATACAGTGCATACAAAAAAAAGGCTGTGATATTTTGATGTTTGCTTATCTCCATGCTGTCCTGGAGTATGACAGAACATGGTGTAAATTATGAATAGAACGTGGGCGCTCTGCTGCTGCACTGCAGGAGGTGTGGTTAGAATAGGATTTTAGAGTTCAGCATTTTGTGTCTGTCAGTAACAAACTAAGCCCAAGGAAGGGATCTCGGTCTATGTCTGCAATTTATTTCTGCACAAGCCATGTCTTGGGCTTCTTTGGAACATTTTCTCTCCATCTTCCTTCTTTTGCACGAGTTTAAGTGAAAGAGACAGAGTGAAATGTGCAGCTGTAGTCACTTCATTAGCACAATGGGTTTTATCCATGTTGCCAGCATATTGAACATGGTAGAAGCTACAGGTTTTCATTAGGAATTTATAAATAGTATTTTTCTTTTTATATTGCTGTGGTTAACACCCAAGCTATCAGTGTTTACCCTCATCTTCTAAGGAAAATCCATGCTTGACCTTCTTTAACAATGACCTTTGCTCAGAAGGATAAACTGAATGGATATTGGTTTTCCTTCTTTTGAATTATAGTATCTTTTAAAGGTAACTTTTTTTGATGTTTAATATCCATGATTCAAGTATTGCTGTCCCCAAGTGACCAATGTTTGGGATGGGACAAGAGAGAGAGGCAAGAGTATAGGACCTGGCAGAGTAATTCCTCAAAGGAATTGGAATTACTTGAGAAAATGGTAAATGACAACTACAAAAGCAAGAATTACTGATACTAAGAGAGAAAAAAATAAATTACATCCATCTAAACAGTTTTTAAGTGTCTATTTCTGCATATTCTAATATGACTATTAATAAATTCACATAATTTATGGAAGTAAGCGTGCACATTTAAACTGGCAGCTGCTTTGTGGATAGGAGAGGATCTCAGCTTCTGTAAAAAAAGGTGTCTGTCAAAATCCTCCATGACTCATGGTCCCTCTGGGCCTCAGTTTCCTCCTCAGTAAAATAAATAGAATAACCTGACTTTTTTCCTCACTGAGCTGCTACATTAATGCATCTTTTTGTAAATCCCGTAGAAGGTTCAAAATGTTCTGATGTTCTTTGGCTTGTTGTTCTGAGCATTTTCTATTTTGAATCCTTGTGCATTTTTAGATGGGAGGCAGAAATGGGTCATTCCCTAGTGATTTTGTTATGGAAGTCTTATATAAGGACCTGTAATTCTGCAACTGCTCTTTTCCTTATCAGTGACAGATTTAGCTATCACTTGTTTATCAGTACATATTTATTTTAATATATCACAGTGGCTTATGCCTACAGGCTATTATCTTGACCTGTAAAAAAACCTTTTATTAGTATTTCTGTGGGAAAAAAGGTCCTGTCACCAAAGACATAATGTTAGCCCAAAACATCAGGAAATCTGATCCAAGAAACCAAATCTAACTAATCAGAGCCTGCAGCTCAACCCAGTTTGCTGTTCAACAACAATTTTGATTAGTAAGGCTAGAGGCAAAGATTACCTTTTCCTTCAGTCCTTAAAAAGGTAAAGATGAAAATTCACGCATATGTTTGACAGAGCTGGTGCATATAATGTGGATTACTTTTGTTTAGGCTGGATGTCCTTGAATCACAGAACAACTTTAATGACCATTTGCAGCCTGCTCAGTGACTAAGTAAATGAACTCAAGCAAATGAACTACTGGGTACATTCCCAAACACTCAGTACAGTTTATTGAAACTGATCAGCTTAAACAAGCAGTAAATTGAGATATACTTCAACCTCTACCTATTTGTTCAACACAATTAGGGAAAACACCCCCTTGCTCACAGAGAAGTAAAGCTGGCTTTCAGTACTGACAGGAAGTGAAAATCTTTAATGCACAGATGTTGGCAATTTACATTCAGTGTTGGGAATAAAAATCTAAAAGACATGGATGTCTTCTGGAGCTCCAGAGAGCAGCACATACACCAGCTCAGCAGTGACTGTGCTTATGTGCTGTATGAGAAATGTATATTCAAGTCAGCACCTGAAATTGCAGTTGTTAACACATCTTGAACTGAAATGAAATTTGGGCCTTGGTGGAGAGAAATAAAAGACAGATATTTGTAGAAAGTAGGAAATGTGCTAAGAATCTGCCTTACCTCCATCTAGTTCTTCAGCTCCAAAATGATTTCTGTAGAAGAGCATAATCTCTATCTTGTAACACTTGTAGATAGTCACTAAACAAACAAGCAGCAGCAGAATAGCACCAAGCCCACCAGCAAGCTCAACTGTGTACATCAGCTCTGCAAAGAATTACAAAATGCAGTAACAACCACATTCCAAACCACAGAAAGATAAGCAGCAGACCTTGCATTTCTGTTGAACGTTAAAATAAAATAATGAATGATGGGTTATTTTATGTATTTATTTCATTATAAAGCCCTTGAATGAATACCTAATTGATGGGGTTTTTATTCTTCAATAAGCTGTTTTTTCCCTCTGATACACTATATGAATTGCTCATTTAAAAAACAAATTCTGCTGGGGATGTGTGTGTGTGTGTGTGTGTGTGTGTGTGCTGTCTATCAGTATGTGCATATATGTGATATATTTTGTAACTCTCTTCCTTTTTTATTTCTGTAGATAGATCACAGTTTACCTAGATAAAGGCCGACATTTGACTTAGAGTGAAAGCAAAGGTGAATGTTTCCTTCTTGAGGACTATAATGCAAAATCAGCTCTTCCCTTATTCCATACACAAAGAGAATGTGGGAAAACTGGACAAGATTAAGAATTTTATTATTTTTTCCAAAATAAAAATAAAAATAAAAAGACCCCACAAAACACTTGAGAGATGTGAAGATACATTATCCAAGGGACCCTACAACCTCACATCTCAGTTATATTTATGTTAATATTTTTAACAGTTTCCCAGAGGTCTGCATTTTATTCTCACTTTTCCCCCAGTGGGCTTAGCTGATGTGTAGACACAGCAAACAGTCCTGGTTTTCCTGTTGTGACATTCCCATTCAGAGCCCCTGGTGTCTCTGCTGCATCTGCTCACAGGATGGATTGGGATCATCACCATGGAGCTCTGCTCCTGAGGACAGGGAGTGGTCAGTTGTGGCCACCACAAGTGTCCAGCACCAGTAGAGGAGCCACTTTTCAGGCCAAAGGAAACATGCCACCATGGGCTTTTGCCTCCCCCAGTTTGAAGGAAGCTCACAGAGCTTTGTTACTTTTCATTTGCTCATTGACTGAAAACTGGCAGTGACAAAAAAGGAGGGTAGGAGGGAGAGTTGTTAACAATTCTGTAATTTGAAATCACTAGATGGCAAGTCTGAAGAGCTTCCATGCTTTTCCAAATCACTCAGTTTTGAGGAATGATGAAACACCAGATCTTGGACATCTGAGGTACAGAGTTTGTTTCATAGAAGATCTGTGCTGGAACAAGTGTTATTTTCACAGGGGGCAGCTTCTCTCTGAGTGATGTAGTGTGGACCTGGAGAAACCTTTTTTGTGTGTGGTTGTGCAGATTTGATAATCCAGCACAATACAATTCAATTAGAGAAATAAAAGGTTAGAGGAAAAAATGAAAACTGCATTTATTTGACAGCATCTACTGAGAATCACACACCTTTTTTTATATTATTATGAGGCAACTGTAAGAAGATTTCATTGCTCTCTAGAAGACACTAAAAGTATAATAAAATAAAATAAAAAGGGATTTATATTCCATGTCATTCGTTCCAAAACTGTGCTGGAAACTCTTTTGTGTTAGATATTTTTAAGACTGGCATGGTTATTTCAAACTCCCAATACTTTTCTGGTCCAGAGAGGGAAATGTTATTAAAAACATTCGATAAAATATGGTTTGCATAGACAAATAATGCAGTATTTTAGAATATAAATGGAAATGGAAATTACTCTGCACTGGCTTACTATACCTGTTTATCATTTTGTAATACAGGTGATGCAGCTGTTCAATGGTAACTAGAAGAAAGGCTTTAATATTTCAGGTTGCTAGGCACAAAGTACTCTATTTATGTGCCTGCTGTTATGACTCACTAAAGGCAAAGAAAAACTTTACAACTGGAAAACAGAAGTTTTTTCTCAACTAATGATTTTTATATTAAATGGAAAGAAATAACTGCAGGTATTCATCTGTTTTCTGTCATTGTGCATGAAATCAGACTAATGCACTGCATCACTTTTGCCATCAGAGTCCCCCTTAGTTATATGTTTCCCCATAAAGTAAGATTATGCCTTTATGTTTGCTTCAGTAAAATCTATCTGAAAGCACATGAAAGTGTCCTTAATTAGGCCATCAAAGCAAACAACAAAATTCTGTAGTCAGCCTGAAACATATAAGCAATTACCTTTTCATGTGTTGCTGCTGAGCCATCGTGATGGTACACAGATAAAGTGGTTCTTTCTTAAACAGATTTGTTTGCAGAGGAAGTTTCATGGTCTATTGATCTAACAGAGCCAGCTTGTACTTTCCTCTGTGCTGGACAGCATCTATCAGCACAGGTTCACTCTGTGTTTTGGGTGCAGTTTGTCAGGGTTCAGAGGCAGACAGGAGCAGTGACCAGCCCAGCAGATTGCTGCATCCTTACACCCAGCCCATGAGGTGCCTGAGCTCAACCCAAAGTGCTGGAAGTGGGAAGAGCTGGAAATGGGAAGTGCTGGAAATGGGACAGCAGCACCATGGAGGGCAGGGGGATTGGCCTGGGCACAGTGTCACACCAGGTTGATTGTTTTCAGGCCTTGAGTTTGTCTTTCTGCAGGATGCTGACTATGCCCTAAAAGGCCACTGACTAGCTCTGAGATGCCTCAGGGGTTTTAGGAACAGTATTACTCTGTGTTGAGCTGAAATGAAGGTGGAAGAAGCAGAAGGCACAGTCTTGTCTCTGCTGTTGGCCCCTCAAGTGACTGAAGCCATTTCATGTTTCTGTGCCTTGGTTTTCCCAACGCGAATTGGGGAAGGTGCTCTGGCTCCTCCCTAGCAGAGCTTACTCCTGAAAAATGCTCTGTGGGTGCCAAGGGTGTTGGTGATGTGTCTGTCAGCAGTTTCAACAATGATGTAGAGACTGTTAAAGACAAGGTAAAGAGTAGCAGCAAGGTTGCAGCTCATGGCTACCTTCACAATAGCATTTTTTTCTGCTGCTTTATTCTGCCTTTTACAGCGTGATTTGAGCACAGTTGCTGCAGCAGGCATTACACTCCTTTTGAAGTGTGATCTGTTTTTCCTGCTGAAATTCAAGTTTTCTGCAGAGGCTACATGCTAAAAAGATTCCATTTCTTCACAATTCCACATCAGAAGCAAGATATGAGAAGTGCAAACCTTTTAAAATGTAGTTAGCCCCAGCGTTGCGGTGCTCAAATTACAGACCTGTCTCTCCTTAAGGAGCTGAGACTGAATGTAGAAAAGAGTGAAGGAAAATTACTTGGCTAACCCTTAGGGCGACAGGCATTCTGTTAAACACAACAAACGAGCAAGTGCCAGAGAGTTGCATCCAGAAGCACAGCAATCATTTAGTTACAGGCAATTAACAATAGTCTTCCAGTAGCTCAGGAGTAGTTCTACTCTAAGGAAAACACATTGATTGCTGCAGCAGTAGTAGATTGGTTCCTGAATAAATAGCTTCAATTTAAAACAAGATTTGTTACAAGCATTTTGACCAATGGCTGTAATTTTTTTTCCTTATCAGGAGGCTTTGGCCAAGCAACTCAGTGAAAGAGACAGCTAATTAAAACAAAACACGTGTCCTCCCCAAATATCAAGCATATATGACTTGTAATAAATGCACTTATTTTATATCTTTTCCTTCTTAATTATTGGACACATTTGTAGGTTATGTATTTGATCTTCACCTGGATCTAATATTTGATAAACTTCCTTTCACTGTGTCATACAGGTAATTCACTTATCATGACTGAAGTTGTAAGAAGAAAGTAAATAAAAGTGTTCTGTCAAAGATTCATATCTTTTGACTTATATGACATGCTTCAGGGGCTTTACATTTAATGATCTGTAAAAATTTAAAATTAATTTTATTCACTAATTAGGCCTCATATAGCTGAACTGCTAAGAAAAATAATTATATTTCAAACATTCTTTTTTTTTGTGATTTATAACACTTTGAGCACATGTGATTTATAGCTGTGTATTCAGTTTCTGAGCCTTTTTCAAAATCCAATTACAGTCTATCTAAGGTTTCAATTTTGCAATCACTTACACAGATTGCTCAACTTCATGGACTATAAGTAATCCCTCTGAAGTCAACAGGACTATTCACAGAGCTTCAGGTTAGCACATAAATAAATCTTTGCAAATTTGTGGCCTAAACTGATTTCCATTCTCGACTTGTCTTGGATAATTTAACTCACAAAGAGATGTTTGGTTAGAGGCAGATCTCAGTTTGTTTAGGTATATTTTCACAGGCTTCAATTATTAAAGGAACCATAAAGATAATAAATATAATTTGGAAGGGGAGCAGGGACTGCAGTGTTATAACATGCAGGTTTGGTTACAAACAGGGTTCTTTCTTCTAAAGGAAGAAGAAAGCTGCCTAACACAGAGATACTTGTCTGAGTCTCATTTCAGAGATCAGCCGTAAACAGTAGGCAGAGTTTAAGCTAGCAACAAAGAAACCCATACTCACAGTTTTAAAATTAAGAAGCATGTATTTTTTTCCTCTTTTTTTTTCTGTTGTTTTGTTTTGTTTTCTTTTTTTTTTTTTTTTTTTTTTTCCCTGCTTAGTAAATTATTTGTTATGGCATAGCTGTAAAACAAATAATCTTCCCAAAGTATTTGGAACCACAGCTTTAAACAGCATACACATATCCAATACATGTATGTTTCAAAATGCAAAAAAAAAAATCTGGTTGTGCTAAAGGTAGCTAGATGGGTATGTGGGAATATCCTATATGGATATCCTATATGGATACAATTATGAATAATTACTGATTGATTCTGTAGGACAATAGTACTTCTGATTGCAGTAGAAGCAGATTTGGGCTACTCATTAGCTTGATTATGATATTATTTCTTAGCACAAAGTATATGCTTTCTGCCAGCATGGGCCACCCACGCCTGTGGATATCTGCAGAACTGACTGAAGCTGGCTGAATTTAGTTATGGTTTTCAGTATGGTTTTCAGTGCAGTAATTTCATTTTATTCATTAGAACTATTGGGACCTGGTTTTCTTTCTATATTTTTATAACAATAAATCATATATATTCCTGGTTCCCTTACGAAAAAGAACTAGTCATGTTTGGGATTATATATACATAAGC